ATAGACTATTTCACCTAACAGCAGCAAAAAACACACTCTGGGATACAATCCTTTAAACTGCTTCGAAGAAGTCTTTTTTAAAAAGTAAACATATAGGTATTTGCAAAATATAGCCTTTTGGTTGATGCAGAAATTTACCGCTCCTTCCCATCAATACATAATGAAGCATATACAACATAGCAAACCTCAACAACAAAATAAATATCTCAGAGAAAAGAAAAACAGACCAGCAATAAGAGAAGGTCAAAGCCTCAGAGCAAGAGTCAAAATTTTGGATCGTGTGATAATTGCCAACTTGTTTGGATTTAAGGATTTAAAGTATTGTTCCTGGGTGTGTTCCATGTTGCCAAAGGAGATTAACATTTGAGTCAGTGGACTGTGTAAGGCAGACTCACCCTCAATCTGGGTAGGCACCATCTAATCAACTGCCAGTGCTGCTAGAATAAAGCAAGCAGAAAATGGAAGAGAAGATTTGCTGAGTCTTCCAGCCTTCATCTTTCTCCCATGCTGGATGCTTACTGCTCTCAAATATCAGATACCTAGTTCTTCAGCTTTCGGACTGTTGAAATTACACCAGTGGTTAGCCAGGAGTTTTTGGGTCTTTGGCCACAGACTAAAGGCTACACTGTCTGCATCCCTACATTTAAGGTTTTGAGACTCACACTGATCCACCACTGGCTTCCTTGCTGTTCAACTTGCAGACAGCCTGGCTTGTCCTGGGATTTTACCTTGTGACTGTGTAAATCAATTACCCTTAATAAATTCCTTTTATATATACATATATCCTATTAGTTCTGTCCCTCTAGAGAGCCCTAATGCAGATCAGAAACAGAGAGATACACTAGAGAATTAAAAAAAAAAATAAGTTAGAGGAATAGCCCTTGAATTCAGGGTCCAGGGATACTGTAAGAACCTTGTTCTCATGATCAGAGACTAAAATACATCTTATCATATGCCGCTTGTGGCCTCTACCTACAAGCTTATTAAATAGCTCTCAAAAATTAGAGAAAACCCTTAATCACGTCCTACATCAAACAACCCAATGGTTCCAGCAAATGATCTGAATTTTATTTATAAGAAAATGAGCCTGTGCTACCAATGCAAAATCTGGTTCTGACTGGGAACTCAGGTGGGATACAAGGAGTCCAACAGGTACCAACATAGACATCTATACCCAGCCTCTCTTTTTCATAATAAGCTTTAAAAAAAGAAGTTTCAAACAAATGAGAAAAGCTATGTCATGAGATAATCATCTATTCAGAGAATTAGCTATCATCTGTGAAAAGACATATATTAGAATAATTTTCCAAAAATAATTTAAAGCCAATATATTTTAAATATTTAAAAAGAAAATAATATTCCTTTAATAATCAAAAAAGTTATAAAACAAATATATGTAGATTTAAATCAATAAGTAGAAAAAAATAATTTTGGGAGATAAAGTAGATATTAAAATAAAAATAGAAAACTCATAAACAGTGCATGTAATAATGACTCCATGTAAAGAGAGAAATAATCAAAACAATATACTCAGGAATTGATACAATGCAGCACAAACATTAATGGCATGAACAATATAAAAAAATAAGTTAGGAAATAAAAAGAATAAGTTAAAAATCACCAAAACATACCTGAATGAATACTCAGAATTAGAGACTAGAAGAAATAGCAGATAGATTAGATAACAAAAGATTAGATAAATTAATTATCTAATTCGAGACTAGAAGAAATAGCAGATAGATTAATAACAAAAGATTAGATAAATTGGAGTTTTATGGATTGAAAAGACATGGGCCTTAGGCTGATTAAATTGCATCTAATTCCAAGCAAGATAAATAAAAATAAAGTCACATATGTATATGTCACTATAAAGTTTTATAACATCAAGAAAAAAACGAAAACCTTATAAGTTACCAGAGAGAAACATGCAAATACCTATGTAAGAAAGTGACAATTTGACAGCAAACTTGTCATCCACAACCACTGAAGCAAAAAGTCAATAGTCATTTTAAAGTACAGGGGAAAATGTCTAGAATTCTATATCCTGGTAAAATTATATATAATTATATACATTTTATATAAATTATTAATATATTTATAGTTTTTCTCCAATACTGAGATAAAAGTAAATATATGAGTACTCAACCCACAGATCATCATTGAAAAAAAAAATTAAAATTTGTTCTTCTGATAAACCAAAAATTTTCTCAGAGAAAAAGTGAGATGCAAGAAAAAATGGTAAGGCGAGGTACTGGTGGCTTAGGCCTGTAATCCCAGCACTTTAGGAGGCCCGAGGCGGGAGGATCACTTGAGGTCAGGAGTTTGAGAAAACCGTGGCCAACATGCTGAAACCCTGTCTGCACTTTTAAAAACACAAAATTTACCTGGGCATGGTGGCGTGCATGTGTAGTCCCAGCTACTTGGGAGGCAGAGACAGAAGAATCGCTTGAAACTCCGAGGCAGAAGTTGCAGTGAGCCAAGATCACGCCGCTGCACTCCAGCCTGGGTAACAGAGCGAGACTCCATCTCAAAAGAAACAAACAAACAAACAAACAAACAAACAAAAAAACAAAAAAAAAGTGAGAAAGAAAAAAGAAATGGTGAGCAACATTTCAGTAAAATATTTTCATTAATTTAGTTGACAATTGAATGAAATATATTTGTAACATTTTAACCTTAAAAAAAAAAAAACAAGAAATACTAAATAGCAGTAATTAAAAGATAGAATGGAAGGGAGTGGATTGAAAATTGATCAAAATATTCAAAGACATTGGACTCACAAAGTCCTGGAATTACACACATGAGCCACTACGCCTGGCTCAGAAGATTGAAGAACCAATTACCTAGCTTAATTAAAAGAAAAATGTGAAGTAGTCTGCACCCCTAAAATAGGGTAAATGCATTCTCATCAAATACACATGAAGTATTTACCAAATATCTCTATTTTCTAATCAGTAAAGGAAGCATCTATGGATTCCACAGAATATGTGTTATACAAACCATGTTTTCTGATAAACACAAACTATAATCCAACAGTGAAAATATAGCTTAAAAGTTTATTTTCCAATATTATATAGCCTAATAAGAAAATTATTATAGAATATAGGAACTATTTAGAGTTCAAGTGGCAAAATATTTGTGATAATGGTACTTTAAAAGTAAATCAACTAATTTTTAAAATAATTAAGCTGAGTGATGAATTCTTAAACCTCAAGAAAAAGCAGATATTTGAATCAAAATTTAAGAAAATAACTAGATGGAAATAGACAAAGGACCACAATGGGAGTTTCACAAAAGATGAAATTAACAACAACAAATGAGGAGGTACTTCACCTCATTGGCTTCAAGTGAATATAAATGAGTATCTCAAGGAGACATTTTTTTGTTCAATCTTTATTTTAGAAACAGAGGGCACATGTGCAGATTTGTGAAAAGGATTTATCACATGATGCTGAGGTTTGGGGTATGATTAGACCTGTCACCCAGGTAGTAAGCATAGTACCTAATAGGTAGTTATTCAGCCCTCCCCATCCCCCTCAACCAGTAGTCTATTGTCTCTTATTCCTATCTTTAGGTCCATGTGTACCCAGTGTTTGGCTCCCAGTGACAATACGTGGTCTTTGGTTTTCTGTTTCTGTGTTGGTTTACTTAGCATAATGGCCTCCAGTTATAACCATGTTGCTGCAAAGGACATGATTTCATTCTTGTTTATGGCTGTGTAATATTCCATAGTGTATATATACACCACATTTTCTTTATCTAATCCACTGTTGACGGGTACTTAGGTTGATTCCAGGTTTTTGCTATTCTGAATAGTGCTGCAACGAATATACAGGTCTCTGTGTCCTTTTGGTAGAACATTTTATTTTCCTTTGGATATATATCCAGTAGTGGGATTGCTTGGTTGAATAGATAGTTCAAGTCTCAGTTCTCTGAGAAATCTCCAAACTGCCTTCCATACTGGCTGGACTAATTTACATTCTCACAGTGTTTAAGTGTTCCCTTTTCTCTAAGCATCACAAACATTCATTATTTTTCTTAACCCTTTAACAAAAACAATCCTGACTGGTATGAGATGATATCTTATTCAGATTTTGATTTGCATTCATATAATAATTGGTGAGGTTGAACATTTTTTCATATGCTTGTTGGTCACTTGTATGTATTTTGAGAAGGGTCTGTTTATGTCTTTTGCCCATTTTTTAATTAGGTTATTTATTTTCTGCTTATTGATTTGTCTAAGTTCCTTACAGATTCTGGATATTATATCTTTATTAGTTGCATAGTTTGCAAATATTTTATCCCATTCTGTCACTGTCTGTTTACTGTGTTGATAGTTTATCTTGCTGTTCCACTTGTCAATTTTTGTTTTTGTTGCAATTACTTTTGAGGACTTCACCATAAATTCTTTCCTGAGACCAGTGACCAGAATGGTGTTTCCTAGGTTTGTTAGAGTTTGAGGTCTTACATTTAAATTTTTAATCCATCTTGAGTTAACTTTTGTATACAGTCAAAAGTATGGGTCCAGTTTCATGCTTCTGCATATGGCTAGCCAGCTATCCCAGTATCATTTATTGAATAGGCAGTCATCTCCCCATTGCTTATTTTTGCCAACTGTGTTGAAGATCAGATAGTTTTAGGTGTGTTGCTTTATTTCTGGACTGTTTTCTGTTCTATTGGTCTATGTGTTTGTTTTTGTACCAAGACCATGCTGTTTTGGTTAGTGTAGCCTTGTAGTATAGTTTGAAGTCAGGCAATGTGATGCCTCCAGTTTTGTTCCTTTTGCTTAGAATTGCTTTGGTTTTTCAAGATTATTTTTGGCCCTTTATAAATTTTAGAACAGTTTTTTCTAATTCTGGAAAAAATGACAACCTATATGCCAAATATATTGGTAAAACTAAAAACAATTTGACAATCCAATGATAATTTGGATGTGAATGTAGATTGTTTCCATTTTACCCATGCTGAAAGAGAAACACTAAATCTTAACTCACAGTGTCAAACATCCGGAAATGATGGAGGTGAGCTGGTTTCCAGACTGACGCTCTAGACTGGTATATTTGAGTGCCTTCCAAGAACAGCTAAGAAAATTCTGAAAAAGAAAACAATGACAGTTCATCGACCTTCCAACTTTCTGAAGCCCCTGGATCTTTCATACCTTACAAATTGTCTTAATTAACATTAAACTACAAAAACAAAGAACTTTGTCCATCTACTCACTTAACATCAGATGAAGCCTGAAAATCACACTGTCCTTGTTTTTATCTTGAATTAAAGCATACTTAACAAATACTCTTGAAAATATTTTTGCTATCTCCATCCAAAATTCTTACACACAAACACACACACACACACACACACACACACACACACACACACAGAGTTTCAGTTTATCTGTTCTCAGAAGGCCTACTTTTGTACTCTGCAAATTCTTTTCCTCTTTCCCTGACTTTTTCTCCTTTTTTTCCTTCCATTATTTTGGCCGTAAGGTACACTGTGCCAGACATTGTTCTAAATGCCAGAAATACAAAGATAAATTAAAAATGACCACTTTTTGGGTAGAGATTAAAATTTGTATAGAGATTTCTTACGAACAAAGAATTATATTTATAAAAATAAATGTACTAACATTTCATAAACTAACAGCAGCCAGACTTTCTTCATTGGGTTATTCTTGATATCCCTCTAAGAGATTTTGGTAACTTCTACTGATATTCACAATACACTTACTGACCTACATATGGAAAAATCGTTAACTGAGAAAAATATCAGTAATTAATGAACTCTAATTACATTCTTTCAATTAAATGTGTTCTCTTTTAAGGTCATGATAAAGATAAACAACATATAGTTAGATACTAATACAGAATTGTGGGAGGTTGTCAGATTTGATAAAGTTTTTTGAAAATTTGAAGTGATAATTACAATGTTATTTGTAGGCTCATAGGATTCCCGGTAATACATGAATTACAACAATTAGTTCTAATAGGAATGGCAGAGGAAAAAGCATGGAGTAGCCCAGAAATAATTTATGTTGCATGAATAAACTCTTCTTTGGCTCATACTAACAGGTTTCATGATTATATAAACAGTTACAAAATGAATGAAAAACAGAAATTGTCACTTACAGAAACTTTCCTTTATGTAAAACGTTAAATATTCACAATTTTAACTTATTCTGTCTGAAAACTACACTTATTCATAGATTTTTACTATGTATCAAAAGTTAAAATAAATATGATACTATAATTTATATTTTACATTTGAATAATTACTACTAATTATGTACATATGGAACAGATAAATTAATCTTTTATATCTTGATGAATGTAAACATATTAAAACTTTTTGTTAATATGAAAGATCATCATTTCACACTGCCTTATATTAGGCTGAATGATCTAGTAGACAGAGAAATGTTCCAACTTTCTTAACATTTTGCATTTTTTCTCGCCTTTTTTGTCAAAATAGTATTATCTGAATTTAAGTAAAGTGTTATGTCTTATTTTACTCCTAGGGTACCCTAAGCTCTGTCTACATCAAGACTTGTTAGTGTCAAGAAAAAGATAAGCTCAGTTGTAAAGAAAATTCCCAATGTAAAACTCTTTTTCACTTTGCCGTGATTCTAGTCAAGGTGCTTCTCACCTCAGCAGTGACTTCACCTGGCACTATCATTTAACTTGCACCTTCCTATTCCTTACATAAGGAAAATCCTTTGAAACCATATTTTATCTCTACATTCCTTTATCTCTAATCCTAGAGGATTATAAATTAGAACAATTACTTTGTTTTCAGTAACACTTTATGTTGATTTAGTTTTAATCTCCTTGGTACAGTTTTAAACTACAAAAGGTATAAGAATTAGTCATTACTTCAAGGAACTTTAATTTCTCTTAGTGGAGAATAGTGTTTAAAGACTGAGATCTGGACTCACATTGCTTAATGCTGTTCTTTTCCCTTTCTGCATTTATAATTCCCTTTCTCAACAGTAAAAAAGTCTAACTCTAATCAACCTCAATGTATTTACTCATTTTTTTTTCAAATTAGAAAATACAGAAAAAAATTTGAGATTTCTTAATTCATACTGCAATAAAAAATCTACTAATTAGAGTTCAAATTTTGTCTGTGGTTTTTATTTTTTAGGCAAAATTTACTTATGACGAAATACATGAGATTTTATAATACAGTTTTGTGAGTTTTAATAAATTTACCCCCATCTAACCTACACCCCTATCAAAATAAAGAACATTACTACCACCACACAATTTCCCTAGTATCCTACACTTTTAATTCCAAAAGGCAACATTTGTTGTTTTTTCCACCACAAACAAGTTTGAAGTTTTCAGACTTTCATGTAACAGAAATCATGAAGAAGCCACCATTTTATGACTAGTTTCTTTCACTCACCATAATGTCCATGTAATTCACCTATCATAATGAATGTATCTTATTAACGGTGAATAGTGTTGCATAGTATAAATAAAAAACAATTTTTTTATTCATTCTCCTGTTGATCAGCCCTTATAATGTTTTCTTATTCTAACGAATATAAATAGAATTGTTATGAAAGACTTTCTGGTTTTATATTTTTATTCATCTAAAATAAATGACTTTAAGTGGAATAGTAGGTCATAGAATATGTGTTTGTTTAAATTCAGAAGAATCTGACAATTAATTTGTCAGAGGTTCCATCAAAGAAGGTCCCACTAGTAATAGATGAGAGTTCCTAATCCACATCCTTGCCAACATTTAATGTTGCCAGAATGTAGTTTTCCCATTTGAGTATGTCTCATGTGATATTCATTTGCATATACCCAATGATTCACCATATTGAACACTTTTTATGTGCATATTGGCCCATTATTTTGCTTCCTTTGTGAATTGTTTGTTTCAAACTGATTGCCAATCCTTTGTTATGTGTTTATTCTTAGTTTAAATTTATTTAGGATATTATATATTCTGGACACATGTTTTGTTGTGATATGTGTTTTATAAATGTTGTTTCTAGACCAAAGCTTGCCTATTCATATTTTTAACTGTGTCATATAATGTAAATACGTTTCTAAATTTTATGAGGTCTAATTTATCATTTTTTCCTTCATTATTTATGTGTCCTGAGTAAGAAATGTGAAATGTGCATCTACTACAGATTTCAAAATAATCTGCTTTTTTCACCTAAAAGCTTTGTTTCTATCTTTATGTAAGTCTGTAGTTTATTTCTAATGGTGGGTGGGTGTGTGTGTGTGTGTGTGTGTGTGTGTGTGTGTGTGTAGGTTTCTGATGTAAGCCATAAAAATTAATTTTAGTCCATATGCATATTTACTTTATCCAGCCTCACGTGAGAAAGACATTCCTATCTCCACTAAATTCCTTTAGAGACGTTGAAACGAATCCATTTATCATTTTTGGACTCCCTATTATGTTTCACTGATCTATTTTTCTAAGTATTGTTTAGAGGAAAACTTATAAGTACAAATACCTATGTCAAAAAAGAATGAAAGAATGATTTCAAATTAATAACCTAACCATCCACCCCAAGAAAATAGAAAAACTAAACTCTGAGCGGGCAGGAGGAAGAAAACAAACAAAAGTTAAGCAGAATAAATTAAATTTTGCATAGGAAAACAATAGAATAAATTTAAAAAATTTAAAGTTGGTTATTTGAAATAATCAACAACAGTGACAAAACTTTATTTAGACTTATCATAAAAGAATGTTCAAATTACTAAAATTAAAAAGGAAGGACAGGATATCATTTCAGACTTTAAAGAAATAATAATTATAAGTAAAATTATGAGTAAATGTATGCCAATGTATTAGTTCATCTAGGTAAAATTGACACATCTAGAAATTAAAATGCTATCAAAACCAACTCAAAAGGAATAGAAAATATGGATAGAACTTTAAGGAGATTAAGTAGGTGATTTTAAAACTTTTCACAAAGAAAAACCCAGGTCAAGTTGGCTTCACTGGTGAATTTTAGAAATAAATTAAGGAATTAAATTCAATTCCATGTAAACTTTCAAAAAACAGAAAAGGAAAGAACACTTACCAAATCATTCTGAGTTCAATATTAACTTGTTACCAATACCAGACAAATTCGTTACAAAAAAAAACTACTGATCTATATATAATATAAATGCAGGTAACAAAAAAACAAATTCAAAAATACTCTAATATTTCAGTACACCTGCGGTCCTAGCTACTCAGGAGACTAAGGTAGAATTGCTTGGGCCCAGAGGTCAAAGCTGCAGTGAACCATGATGAAACCACTGCTTTCCAGCATGGGTGACATTGTCAAAAAGAAAAGTATATATATTATGTGTAATATATACAAAGAAATCAAATATATATTTAATATTATATATAATATACTGTATATGTAGTATACATTATAACAATATGTAATTATAATAATATATATTAGTATATAGATTTACTAATATATAGTTACATTATATTACATATAATGTATATATTTACTTATGTATTATATATAAAATCTATATTAGCATATATACTACTATATATTTTATAATTGTATAACTAATATATATTAGCATAGATAATATACATTAGTATTATATATACAATATATATTAGTAAATCAAATTCAGCAAAATATAAAAGTAATTATGTATCATGACCAAGTGGGATCTATCCCAGAAGTTTAAGATTAGTTTAATATCCAAAACTAAAAACCAAAATATCATAAAGGAACCCCAAACCCCACATGATTATCCTAGTAAATGAAGATAATGTATTTTTCAAAATCCAACGTCCTTCATGAAAAAAGTAATGAAATACAATAGAAATAAACTTTCTTAATCTTATGTAGGACATCTGTGAAAAACCCACAACTAATATCTCACTTAATAGGAAAGATTGAACGCTTTTTCCATAAGATTAGCTACATGAAAAATTTATTTATATTAGCATTTCTATTCAACATTGTAAAGGAGGCTGTAGGCAGGTAAATTGGATAAGAAAAAGAAATAATAGGCATCCAGTTTACAGAGAAAAAAAATAAAACTTTTTGTAGTTGATTACATTGTATATAGTAAATCTTAAAGACTCAACTAAAAAAAATAA